TGCTCAACAAAAGAAAGAGCAAGTATCCATCTATTTGCCACGTCTTTCAAAGTCTCTCATTGCAATTGATGCAAGCATTGACATGAACGCATACCCATAATGGTTCAATGTGCAGTATGTTTACAACAAATGCAAGTTTGTGAAGGAAGCATGATGAATTGCCTCCTTCCATACGCAACATTAGTTTAGTACATATCAGTGTCCATTGGAAAGAATGTACAACACTCACAAACCAAGTGACTCACCTCATCTGCGATAAAGTTTTTCCACATTTTGCACGAAAGCAATGAAAGAGCAAAACCAAATCTACATTAGACCGACTGCTTAATCATCACGTCGCACAAACTACGTTTCATTTGTACTTATTTTGTGAAGCATACTCACCTCACATAATATACCAAAAGCAATTCCTTTTCCCAACACTTGAGGGATAGACACAGAGGTCACTGTGACTCACTTTTCCTGTCTCAGAGAGCCCTTCTGATGGTCACCGTGACTCACTTTTCCCTCCTCAGGTGTTATGGTCACTGTGACTCATTTTCTCCTTAGAGACCCAGGTCACCTGACTCACTTTTCCTTCTGCCACCTCACCGTGACCTCTTCTCCTCCTCACCCTGATCAGGACCATTCTGCCTCTGATGGTCACCGTGACTCACTTTTCCCCTCTCAGAGAGGCCTTCTGATGTTCCCGTGACTCATTTCTCCCTCTCAGAGGCCTCTGATGGTCACCGACTCACTCTTCCCTTTCCCCAGCCCTGAGGCCTCACTGAATTCTCCTCAGAGGAGGCCGTGACTCACTCTTTCCCTCCTCAGAGGCCTCTGATGTTCACCGTGACCCTCCCAGAGGCCTTGGTGGTCACCGTTACTCATTTTCCTGTCTCAGAGGCCTTCTAATGGTCTCTCAGACTCACTCACAGAGGCCTCTGATGGTCTCCGTGACTCATTTCTCCTCCTCAGAGAGGCCTCTGATGGTCACCGTGACTCACTTCTCCCTTCTCAGCCTTCTGATGGTCACCAGACTTATTTCTCCCTCTCAGAGGCCTTGATGGTCACCGTGACTCACTTTTCCCTCTCAGAGAGGCCTTCTGATGTTCACCGTGACTTGTTATTCCCTCTCAGAGAGGCCTTGTGATGGTCACCGTTACTCATTTTCCTGTCTCAGAGGCCTCATGGTCTCTGTGACTCACTTTTCCTCTCACAGAGCCTCTGATGGTCTCTGTGACTCATTTCTCTCAGAGAGGCCTTTGATGGTCACCGTGACTCAATTCTCCCTCAGAGGCCTTCTGATGTTCACTGTGACTTATTTTCCTCCTCAGAGAGGCCTTGTGATTGTCACTGACTCATTCTCCGTCTCAGAGGCCTCTGATGGTCTCAGACTCACTTTTCCCTCCTCACAGAGGCCTTCTGATGGTCACCGTGACTCATTTCTCCTCCTCAGAGAGGCCTCTGATGGTCACCAGACTCACTTTTCCCTCTCAGAGAGGCCTCTGATGTTCACCGTGACTTATTTCTCCCTCTCAGAGGCTCAGGATGGTCACTGACTCACTTTTTCCTCTCCTCAGAGAGGCCTTCTGATGTTCACCGTGACTTGTTATTCCCTCTCAGAGCCTTGTGATGGTCACCGTGACTCATTTCCCTGTCCAGAGGCCTCTGATGGTCTCCGTGACTCACTCTTCCCCTCCTCAGAGGCCTCTGATGGTCCCTGACTCATTTCTCCTCCTCAGGCCTCTGATGGTCACCGTGACTCACTCTTCCCTCCTCAGAGGCCTCTGACACCACCGTGACTTCATTCTCCTCAGAGGCCTTGTGATGGTCACCGCCACCATTCTCCTCGGCCTTCTGATGGTCTCTGTGATCACTCTTCCTCCTCACAGAGCCTCTCTGATGGTCTCCGTGACTCATTCTCCCTCCTCAGAGGCCTCTGATGGTCACCGTGACTCACCCCTCCCTCCAGAGGCCTGATGCACCACTGTGACATTTCTTTTCTCCCCCAGAGAGGCCTTCTGATGGTCACCGTGACTCATTTTCCCCTGTCTCAGAGGCCTTCTGATGGTCACCGACTCACTTTTCCCCTTCTCAGAGGCCTCTGATGTTCACTGTGACTTATTTCTCCTCCTCAGAGGCCTTCTGATGGTCACCGTGACTCACTTTTCCTTTCCTCAGAGGCCTTCTGATGTTCACCGACTCCCCTCACCGTGACCTTCTCCCTCCTGCCCCTCTCAGTCCCCGTGCTCCTCAGGTCTCCCGACTTTTCCTCCCTCCCAGAGGCCTTCTGATGGTCACCGGACTCACTTCCCTTGAGGCCTCCACCACCGTGACCTCTTCTCCTCCCGGCCTGTCACCGTGATCACCTTCCCTCCGAGGCCTGATGTTCACCTCCCTGTTCTTCTCCCGAGGCCTCTGATGGTCACCGTGACTCATTTTCCCTCCAGAGTTCTCCTTCGGATCCTTCCTCCTCAGAGGCCTTCATGGTCTCAGATCATTTCTCCTCCTCGGCCTC